TGTACACAAATAATACATAATATTAAACCTATAATTATCATAAATGCTTGAACAGATAATTCAGTAACACTAATAAATCATAAAATAGATGTAAATTAATATTTTAGTATCACAACATAAATAATACAAATGCACAAATAATAAAACTAGATATGAATGACAATCTATTATTCACACCCACTTTGCACGATATAAAAAGCCATTGAAATATAATGTTATATGGAGGAAGAAAATCCACTTTGGTTTATTTCCTCATTTTGGAATTCGACGGAAAAGGAGACAGAGAGAAAGATAAGATAAACATGTAGGAATAGGATAAGACAAAGAGGAAGAAGAAGAAAGGGTATATGGCAAAGAGAAGGAGAATAAAGAACGGCATAAGGTAGAAAGGAAGAAGAAGGAAAGACTATAAGGACAAGAGGGAGAGAGAGGAAGGAAGCGGAAGAGAGAGAGAGAGAGAGAGAGAGAGAGAGAGAGAGAGAGAGAGAGAGAGAGAGAGAGAGAGAGAGAGAGAGAGAGAGAGGAGAAGAGAGGAGGAGAAAATTGCGAAGAAGAATAAGAGGAGAGGGAGGAACAGGATAAGGCAGAGAGAGAAGAAGAAGAAGAAGAAGAAGAAGAAGAAGAAGAAGAAGAAGAAGAAGAAGAAGAAGAAGAAAAAAAAGAAAAAAGAAGAAAAAGAAGAAGAAGAAGAAGAAGAAAGAAGAAAAAGAAGAAAATGAAGAAAAAAAGAAGAAAAAAAAGAAGAGAGGGAGAGGAAGTAGCATGATAAAGTAGTGAGAATGTCTACACGAAAATCCTCCATGATATACGAGAGAAACCGGCCCTTTGTTCCTCGAGGTCTGAGGGCGACAGTTGTCACTTGAAGGATAAACTTGAGTGATGGTTAGTCGCCCTCACACGCTGCCGCGGGGGTGGGGGAGAGGGCTGGGGGAGGGGGTATGAGGAGCCTGAAGATGTGCTTAAGTTATGAAGTGTGTTAACTATCATTATTATCATCGTCAGTCATCAGTTATTATTATGATGATGATGATAATGCTTATTATTATGATAATAGCAATAGCAATGCTAATAAAAATACTACTACTACTACTACTACTACTACTACTACTACTACTACTACCACTACTACTACTACTACTACTAATTATAATGATGATAATAATAACAATGGTAATGATGACAGTAATAAGTAAAATAATAAGATATTAATACAGCTACTATTACTACTACTACTACTACTACTACTACTACTACTACTACTACTACTACTACTACTACTACTAAGATCAATAAGAATTGTAATATTCATATTAATAAAAACAGTTATGATAGCTAATAACAATAAAACCACTAACACTAACAAGCAAATAACTATTACAAACTAACCACAACCAATCAATAAAAATAAAAATCTACCGCATCATTCTTTATCTATTTATAACCATTTTAACATTCCAGGCCAAACCGTAAAGAAAACGGGGACAAACAAGGTCTTTTAGCGTCGAATTTTCACGCTTATTCGGGTGAAGAAAACGGATGATCAGATTCCATTTTGTCATTTATAAAAGAAGAAAAAAAAAAAGTTAACAAAAAAGAAAATAATCTCGGTGGGAGGGAAAGTTTGGTTTGGAAAATTCCGTTTGGTAATATTTCTTATTTTTTTTTGTCTCTTTCTCTCTCTTTTTTTTTTTTTTTTTTTTTTTTTTTTTTTAATCTTTCTGTATCTAATCTTTTTTTTTTTGCCTTTTCATATTTTTAAGGAAAGGGGGGGTGGGGGTGTTTGTTTAACTTTGGGGGTCGGAATTTTTTGAAAGCGTGAGGGCGTGTGAAGCGAGGTTGTGGGCGTGGGAAAATATTGGTAGATATATATTGTAGTTATGCAAATTAGTCATTATGTACCTGGTTTGGCTGGTAGATTCTTGTTAGGTAGATAGGTGAACTGGTATGTATGTATTCATAGAAACACATACATACAAACACACACACACACACACACAAACACATACACACTGACTCACACACACACAAGCACACAGACACGGACACAGACACACAAACACACACACACACACAAACAAACACATACACACTGACTCACACACACACAAACACATACACACTGACTCACACACACAAACACATACACACTGACTCACACACACAAACACATACACACTGACTCACACACACACAAACACATACACACTGGCTCACACACACAAACACATACACACTAACTCACACACACACAAACACATACACACTGACTCACACACACACAAACGCATACACACTGACTCACACACACACTTACACCTATACAACACCCTTCTCCACCCACCCACCCTCGCCCGCCCGCCCACCCACCCACACACACAGATACTCACTCACTCATTCACTCACACAGGCCCTCAAAAGAAGCTTGACAGATTAAAGTTTGATTGCCACGCACACACAAACATTTTGACTACAACTTTTGCCGGTGAGGTCCCGCGAACAG